AGGGTTGCTATTTGACGTCAAGTGAAGAGGGAAGTTAGGAGGAGGGTGATTGTTGTCAAACGATTACGAAGTTAGAGAAGTAAATAGTTGAAACTGCCGGGATTCAAGTAAAAAAAGGATTCGACGGGCCATTCTAGGATGCTTATTATTGCTGAGGATCTGCTATTCATAATAAGTACTTAATTTATTATTATATTTTTTAAATTAGTATTTAACCTGTCGGCTCAGATAACTTAAGTTGAATTTAGATAGTGATTTGATAGTCCCAATGAAAGTGTTTGTCTTAAGAAAATGTCTTATCCTTTGGTAAACCCTCAGCGAACAAAAGTTTGCGACTAAAGTTACAGACATGTTGTCTAAACCACTACAAGAGGGTTTTATAAATGAAGGCAGCATGCCGCTTACAATCAATGCAAGCAAACGTGTGGTGACCGACTTCTAAATAGGAGGGAACTTCCGAGCAGAAACACCACAGAATATCTGGTTGAAAATATGCAACATACAAAATTTTTCCACCAGAAATAGCCATGCTATGTATTCATATCTACTTTACGGGTAGCCTGAGATCATTAAACCTTTCTGTACCAAAACGCTGCTTATACCTGAAGGCACTTTTAAGTTCCGGCGGCGAATGTGAAGAAGAGAAGGAAAAAAAAAGAGGAAAAAAAGGAGAGAAACTGGGGTAGAATCTTTAGAAGCGGAGAACCCGAAACAGAGGCGAAAGAAAGCATGTGGTAATTGCAAATCGATCTGTCCGCGAGGGAGGGTGTTTAAAATGAGAAGGGGGCTCCCTAATTTGAAAAGGAAGGCGGTAACAGCGCGTGCGTGAAAAGATAAGCATATTGAATTTTGAGTCTTATTTCTTTTGGTGTGGAAAGAGTTAAGGGTAAAAATAACAATCCTCTTGTGAAGTCAGTGGTCAGAATTGCAAAAGCAACTTCTTGAGATTAGGTGGATTGAAATAAATAGTGTGAGTTAAGGCTTATAATACACATGGAAACAAGAAAAAATTAAAAAAAATTATTAATACGATTTACCGTTCAGCGTAATTCGTAGTGGTGATAATAATAATCTTATTATTATCCCTTTTCTTACGAATCATCTTTTTTTTTGTGTTTATTTTTAGCTATGATATGCTAAAAGGAAGAAAAAGATTTTCTATATAGCTTCCACGAGAGCTTCTCTAGCTTCAATTTACCAAAAAAGAAATTGGAAATCTTATATATCTACTTTGAAATAAAAACAACATAAAACATGCAATTTCATACATTTTTTTTCGTGCGTAATACATACATTAATGTAATGCCAATTCATATACAAGTCAATAAAAAAATGATAATCGTCGAAATGCAATAAAAGATATGATATTGAAACATAAAACTGAATAAAATATTTGTAAACCTGATATTAGGAATTACTTTTCAAAAATGTTTTTAGAAAAACCTGTTTTTTTAAAGGAAGAATTGTAGATCTTCCTTCAGATAACTCTTAAAATTTTCTTAATCTTTTTTGATGTGTAAATTGATATTTAATGAAAATTTTTCGCTTTTTTTATAAAATGAAAACTAATTTTTGTTCATATTTAAAGATGCTTAAGTAAATGTTTCGATATCCCATGTATTTATCGAATATTCATTAATTTATTATGAAGTGTAATTGACAAAATAATTCACAATATTTAATTGATAATTAACTGTGTAATTACACATTACAAATTTTTCAAATTTTGGAGCTTCATTTGTAAGAAGTAATTAACTTTTAGGTTGCTTACTAAGTTAGAATTTTTTTAAAAGATAAAAAAAGGGGACAGTATAATAATTGTTTCTCGTTGGATTCTGAAAAAAAATAGAATACAAATAATATTAAAAATAAACATCTTTGCAAAACACAAATTAAGTTGCGTGATCAAAGAAAAATTTTCTAATAAAATTCTTATTTCATTCATCCCATAAAAATAACAAGAACTGTAAAAATAACCATCCTTTTGTATATTACTTAATTAGAAATAAAAACATGTCGATTAAGTATTTTTGATTTTTTTTCACTAAATTTTTTATTAAATCAATATTTGTAAATATATCAAAAATTTACAATTTTTTAAAAATTTAGTATCAGAATTTTTTTTAAAAAAATTTATATTTAAAATTAAATTAAATTTTTAAGAATTTTAAATTCAATTGATGAAGGGGTTTTTAATTTTACATTTTTTATATATTTATACTACATAATTTTTTTTTTATAAAAAAGAAGTAATAAATGAAAAGAGAGGAATTAATTTATTGAAGATTTTACTACTTAATACTTTTTTTTTTTTGAAACGAAGTGTATTAGCAGTAATTATATATATATATATAAAAGTGCCTAAAAGCCGTATAAGTAAAAAAAAAAACTAATGAAATGTAAACTTTTAAGCTTCACACACACACACACACACACACACACACACACACACACACACACACACACACACACACGCACACACACACACACACACACACACACACACACACACACACACACACACACACACACACACACACACACACACACACACACACACACACACACACACACACACACACACACACACACACACACACACACACACACACACACACACACACACACACACACACACACACACACACACACACACACACACACACACACACACACACACACACACACACACACACACACACACACACACACACACACACACACACACACACACACACACACACACACACACACACACACACACACACACACACACACACACACACACACACACACACACACACACACACACACACACACACACACACACACGCACGCACACACACACACACACACACACAAAAGCATATAATAATTCAATGAAATAGGTATGAACAATTTATTGCCTCCTCACGAAAAATGTATAGTAATTTAAAACTATTTACATTGATTAAAAATATCCTTACACAATTATAGGATTTTTTTATGATATAGTTAAAGTAAATGAAATACATAGATTTGCGTTTTGTTAAGTTAGTTTTAAATTGCGAAAATTAACTAAAGGTTTTAATGACGTGAATTTATACCTAATTAGTATTTGATAAATATACAGCCTGCAATATTTTCAAGGAATATAAAAATCTTGCTTAAAAATATATCTTTCTAAAAGAAAAGAATAAAAAAAAATCTATGTATTACATATATCAAATTTATTTAATTTCAACATGATAATATGCCACCTTTAAGCAAATTAATATGTATTATGTATGTCTTATGACATTTTTTAACTCAATTATTTATAAATATTCTTTTCAAGAGTTTTAAACAGCTAAGCTCAAAGTTTCATAATGAATTATTTACCCAAGTACAAAATAATCCTAGTCTCTAATTTTGTATTATTTTCTCAGAATATATTAACATCATAAATAAAATTATAAAAAAATAATATGAAAGTATAAAAAAAAGTAATTAAGTAATTAATCCTTTAAAATATCGAGTTCACGTTTTCAATCAGAAAAATAATCAGTTGGGAATATACAACTAAACAATTCAAGTGTATTAAAACTAAAAGCTCTGGAGTATTAGCTTTCAACAAATCACTTTTTGCGCGAGAACCTAAAATATGTATTTAGATAGAATGAAATAACAAGAACTTAATAAAAAAAAAGAGTATAATCATTCTACATATATAAAATATTCAATATTCGTATTTTTCGTTCAAGATAATTCTATGCTAGCACAAGTTGCGTCGAACACAAAACTGAAATTAAATTCCTTACTTGCATTTCATTTATAAAAAGACTAATTTTGAATAACTTTTCTCCGGAGGATATTTTTTGAAACTTTTCGATCTCTAATTAGAAAAACTTCCGATTTGTTGCAGTTTTAAAAATATTTTTCCCAAACTGAAACATAATTATCATCTTTTTGCATTTTTAATGCTGGAAAAATATCATGTTTTGAGGTACTTTCCGAGAGTAAATAAACTAATATAATTAAACATTGATTCATTAAGCATTATTCACTTTTTTTCCATTAGAAAATTGTCATTGGAGTATCATTTTTGTTTACTCGTTATAAATCATGCAATTATTCCATTACGTAAAAACTTTATCACAGACTGTGTGTGAGAGGGGAGAGCTATCTCAAGTTTCAAATTTATTAACTGAAGAGTGGATTAAGCAGACTTCCGCGCAAGTACTAGAAGATTTTTTTTTATGCTTAATTGCTGATTTGGACGGATTAGCAGCGAGCGGGTTTTTAGGAGTTCCTCCATTTTTGTTGAAATTGGTTACTAGATTAGAATCCATATTCGCATTGCATTCTTTAGGTATTAACAGGGCTTTTCTTTTCTGGAATAATAATCAATTCCAAAAGTGACGCTCTACTGAGCGAATCCCGAATGATCCACTTAAATATTAATTAATGGCTCGCATTCCTTAACGAACGCTGTAATTAAATAGTGAATTATGAATGCATCGTCGAGAAAAAAAAATAACGGAAGAGACCCGTTTTTTTTTTATTGTCTCTTACGAAGAGAGGTTTTAGCAGCACTGTACTCTCGAAGAAATGTAACGGAACGGCTAGCGATAAAAATATTCGTAATATAAAAATGGAATTATGTGTTAAATTTTCAATCGCCTGTTCTTTTTTGTGCATAAAAATTCCTAACGGTATTTTTACTCAACATCAATAGGAGACGTGAAAAAAATATTGCATCAGTTGGTGAATACTTATGTTTAAAATCAAGCTTAGTTTCTTTGGTAAATTAATATTATATTTTTCAATTCCTACTATTAGTTCACACTCTCCCTATATATATATATATAGCTTGTTGAAATTTTCCAACGTTAGTAAGATACTTTTATGCATCCTCTCAAGTTTAAATACATTTTTTTTAAAAAATATTAATTCATTAATTCTGTTTAATTAATGAATAAATAGTAGCAAACAAAAATAATAGTCCAACACCCTATGTAAAAAGGAAAACTGCTCGTTGTGTCCTTGTACCGCAATGGATAGCGCGTTGGACTCCTAATCCAAAGGTCGTGGGTTCAATCCCGCCTGGGATGGCCTAGTTTCTGAGAATGTGATTTCATTTTGCTCTACTGTTTTATAAGAATAATTAAATTTAATAGAAAGGAGAATGGGATATTGCTTTCTATTTTTGCACTTTATAGTGTGATTCTGTCATATATGTATATACATATTTATATTAATTGTAATTGTTTAATGAAACGTAATTAAAATAAAATTAGTCTTCGTTGACCTAAGTAGGAATTGACTTAAATTTTTTTTTCTCATCGCTTGTTTACATTGGTTTCGTTGCAATAAATACCTAAAACTGTGCCTTAAATTCTATCTTACTGTACATTTATTTACGTGTATTAGCCGAGAATTTTTCCGACATTTTTTAAAGTAAAGGAGTCGACTTTCATACGTATCAGGTAATCTAGGAAACAACGTAGCCATGCAAAAGTGATTTTAATTTTTAAACTTTTTGAGATTTTTGAATGCAACTTTTTCTTTATAACAAAAATTATATAAATTCTTTGATGTCAATGTCAGAGTTCAAGTTTCTGAATAGGTTTGTCACTCATTGGGGTATCCGAATGCATATGATCCTCATATGTGGCGAGTTTTTCCTCCAGGACATGAAACAAAGGTCATGTGCTTCTCTTTTTTAAAGTTTGATTTTTAATTTAAAACGAAATGTTTTTTATCCACTCTTGAAGTGAGAATTTACTCAGAAATGTCGAGGAGTTGTAATGCTATTAAAGTTTACAGCAAACGCGTTCACCTATAGTTTAAATTAGCCCCATATGAATTACTCTTCCTGCTCTTTTAAAAAAATGACACCGAAAGTAAAACTAGCACAGATAGAGTACAAGATAAAAAACAAACAAAACAACTGTCATTGTTAACGTCTGGCGTTTCACTTTATTGTAATTGTTTTTGAAAAAAATGTTCCACTCATTTTAATTGCTTGGCATTCTTTTAAGTTCATAGCAAAATTTTTTAAAATTGCAGGAATTCTTGGGTTTCAATTTGGCTTACATACGAGATTCAAATTTTGGATAAATTTTTGAAGAGAAAAAAAAAATAACTTTCGACTTTTTTTTATATTCGGAAATATATGGAGTTTCTTTGTACTTCTCTCATTATAAAGTTATTTTGGCTTTAATTGTTGTTATTAATAAACATTTTTTATTAAAGCGTTTGAAAACAATTTACTTCGAAATTTACCGATCAATAAAATTCACTCGCTTTAACGAAAAGTAAATAAAATCAAAATTATTTGCAAATCTATTACAAGTTTTTGTAATTGCCTCTTTTATTTTTGAAAATCATCAAAGTGAGCTGAAACTTTGACTTGAAAGGAAATGAAATTTTAAATCTCTATGAAATTTTAACTGTTTATACATGTAAAAACTGTTATCAATGAAGTTGTACAAAAACAACAACTAAAAGATAAACAAAATACAATAGGATTTGCACAATCTATGATTTAACAAAAAAAAGCAAAGAAGGCATTTATGATTTAAATATTAATGCTTAATGTTTAAAATTAAAAAAAAAACTACCTTTTCATAATAAAATATTTATCAATACAATCACGTGCTTTAAAAGTAAAGTGTTTGCTTACTTCTGATCATGACGGATTTTTTCGAATTGAGAAATTCTCGCAAATTGCAGTGCATGTATTTATGATGTTATTCCTTCTTTTCCAAATTTAACAGTTTTTTGAAAACTCACTTACAAAAATAAAAAATAAAATCTATGCATACAGTTTGTTCTCCTCAATCAATAAAAAATATATTACTAAATAAGAAATATAAATAAATAAATAAAATGTATGACTAACAATTTTTCAAAAAAGAAAAAAAAAATGATAGACATGTGTACAATTATTTATGCAATTCATTGACTGTTGCGCGGAAAATTCTTCAAGAACTATGTAAATATAAAAAATACCGTTTTTCTACGACTCTTAAAAATTATGGATATAAAAAAGAAATTATTCATGAAGATTACCAGCATTAAAATTTTTTTTTTGTTGAATCGTATTTCAGCAGATTGGCGAATTATTAACTTCATATTAGACAGAAGTTCAATACGGAATAATAAGTGGTTGGAGCAATATTTGGCACAATTTTTTTTCTTGACAAAGGTATGGACTACAATAGGATTTGACTGCAATTTTTTAATGATGTTTAATTTGAGAGTGTAAACAGTGAACCATTACAATAATTAAAAATTTTCCATGCGTTTTATTATTGAATCTTTAACAGTACGAAATGTGAATAAAATTTGTGCGATAAAAAGTAAAAATCTAAATGGTTCACCTAAATTGAAGAACTATTTTGGTCCGAGGAAATATAAATCATGAAAAGAAGTTATTATTGAGGAAAGCATCCTGGACAAATAAAAAAAAAATGAAATGTTAGAAATGCTTTATAATATAAATCATAACGAACGTTTTCGTATAAGTCTCTATTTTTTTAAAATTGAAGTATTAGTTATAAAATTGTAGTAAGGTCATTTTTTTAAAGAAAGTTTTTGAAATATATCATGTACATGTGTGTAGTATCATGTGCTATTAAAAAAATCGTAATTCTACTTTTCTCTTTCTAAAATTTCCTTGAAAAAAACATTCAAAAAATAATAATGAAATAGCATTGTATCTTTTTTACATATTATATAAGATAATGATTTCGTTGCGCGAAACAACAGCAGACGCAGCAGCAGCAACAACAACAACAAATTGTTGTTAACAAGGGTTCAGCGAGAGATCAAAACAAACAAGCTCTAATCGTTGAATACAAAGGAAATGAGGGGGGTGAGGAAAAGGTGTCAGGACGAGAAAGTAAAGGCACTGTTTGGTATTCACTTTAGAAAACCAGGGAGCGATTCAAGCAAAGGGAGGGAAGGGGCAGAGAGTGCTAATAACAAACGAGGCTCCCAACTTCGAAATTAGCCTTCTCCGTGATGATGATGCCCTCGGAGAATGAAACAAGTAAAAAAAAAATGTCAAAATAAAATAATAATAATAAAAAGTTGAAGGGGGAAGAGATGGACGGGTGGGGGGAGTGAAGGTGGGAAGGAATGATCATCATAAACATCATCGTAATGTGGCAGCTGATCCCCATCGTCAGCAAGGACAGGAACCAATCAAACTTCATCGCCATGGACCTTTTCAAACACGAAGGGTGGCGGGCGTGGGAGGGTAGGGATGCTGAGGGGGACCGCGGGCTTCCGGTTACCAAGGCAACCTCCTCTCAGGTGCCTTTTGTGACGGTGGTAGGAAGAAAAGAGATGCTCATTTGAAGCTGGGCAGACGTCTTCTACTGATGAGCACTCGTCTTCATTAGGCCTCAGAGGGAGCACAAAATTCAGTCTTTTCCTCTCTCTTCTTTTTTTCATTTTTTTTCCCTTTTTTTCTCTCCCCCTCTACTCCTTTAAAAGAAAGACAAGGCAGCTTCAGGAAAAGCCTTGTAATAATGAGGACAGAGCACAAACCAGAGCTATTATGTGTCCTAAAGGAAAAAAAATAGAGCGGAAAAAGAGAAATAAAAAAAAGTATTGCTACTGATAAAAAAAAAAAATGTGAAGACGAATTCCTCAGTGTCGTCAAACATTTTTTAATACTCCTTTTCCGCATTATTCGTGTTTGAATCTCTGTTGAGCACGAGTGTTTTTCTTTTCCTTTTTTTCCCCTCTTAAAAATGGTATTAAGAAAAAAAAAATTCGATTTAAATGATAGATGCTTATGGGAAGAGTGAATAAGAAAAGAACCAACGCTACACCATTAAACTTGAAAAATGTGATTTCGAATGAACGTGTAAGTATATAAAGAATAAGAGTAACACTTTTTTACTTGAAGATGTTAATACACGACGTCTCTATTGTACTTGATAATGATGAAAAATTATCGAATCAGTTATCAAAATTCTTTTCGTTTTATTTTGAATGATAATCCGATCCAGAAACAAATATGGGCAAATAAGTTAAACAAAATTCCTTAGGCATAGCATGGACATATTTGGAGCACATTCAGAAGGATTTATTATTTAATAAATATGAAAGTGGAATAATAAAAGTCTTGAGGTTAATTTACAAATGGATTATTTACTTTTCTGGAAGTTGAACGAATTATAGGAATTCTGAGAGATGGAAAAAAACCCCACCTTATATATATATATATATATATATATATATATATATATATATATATATATATATATATATATATATATATATATATATATATACATATGGATCAATGCATTTTTACACTATTGTATTTGACAAAGTATTAAACAATTGGAACATCGAAAAATCCTCAGATACTCGTTATTTCTTCAAAATATCTTGATAAAATTTTTGAATTTCAAAATGATGCAAAATTGTGCAAAAATACAAAAATTATATAATTTTTTCTATTATTTTTAATTAAGGTAATGAAATCCATTGCTAAGTTTGAAAATATTAGCTCCTTATTCTACAAGTAAAGCAACCCGTTTTACCGTCTACATATATAAAAGGACGTTTAAGCTTCTGATTAGCTCTTTATTAAAGTCCTTTAAAAATTTTAAAAAAAATTCCATTCTGATGAACACACAGCTCCAAAGGTTAAAATTCATCATGTATTTTAGGTTGAAGTTCAAAAGTTTATGAAAATTAAGGTGTCCGACTACGTTCGGAAACGTGACTTTAAAAAAGCGTATAAAATGGATAATTTTCATGATATTTAATGTCAATCAGATTAAAATACACACATAAAATTGATTTAAGGACATTCTGACAAAAAACATTATTTAAATACAATATTTTGGCAAAAAATTAACTTAGAATAATCTTTTTTCAAAATGTTCTCCTTTTGTGAAAAATGCTTCTATTATAATAATATTTTGCCTGTATATAGCTCAAACCTCTCTATAACGGCCCAAATAGAATTTTTGAAAAATTCACATTATTTTCAAATTTACCATCAATTGAAATAATTATTGATGATTTTTTCTTAAAACTGCTCCCCTCTGTTATCGTAAAATATGGATAAACCCACTTCTAA